GCTCTGCTGCTTTCACAGCCAGAGCCAAGGTGACCAAATTCCTCACATAACCACAACACTCATTCATCATGTGTGTTTATAATAATGAACACACTTCAGGGCCATTGACAGAAAGCAGCCTCCTGATGGTTGAGTCTGCCTGGTCACACAGGGCAAAAGCCCATCAGCCAAGCCTCGAGATCTGGGTGAGATGTGACTTATCTTGGGAACGCCTGACTTTGAAAAATATACACAGAGTGACCCATGACAGACCCTTAAGCCCTGTTTGCTAGCCCTCATGTATTCTCTGCCTCATTAAAAATGTTGTTTAAAATTGCCGAGGAATAATTAAACAGGCCTGTGGTTGATTTATGGAGGACAAACAGAGCTATGAATGCACAGAAATATTGTGTTGTTGGGGAGGCAATTTATGAAGATGAGGCTAACTGCTGACCTGAGGTTGGCCACAGAAGTGATGTGTCTTAATGATGCTTCAAGTCCACAGAGGCCCGAAGTGTCCAGGTATTACATGTTGACAGCCTGGCCCACATTTTGAGTTTAGTAGCTTTTCAATCTGAATACCCCAACTCACAAAAGAAATGAAATATTGTGCCATGCCCCTACCCCACACTGTGGGGTAGGCACATGTTTGGAATTTGAAGTGGAAAACAGGGGCACTGACTGTGATACTGATGTTGGAATGGCCCTCACTTCTCAGCACCCCGCCTTGCTTGGCAGCGTGGTTGACACTCCCCCAGGGGGTTTTTATGGCAAGTTATGAATCAGAGGGTGTGGGTGCGACTCAGGCACGTCTGGGTCCTCACTCTGGGAGTTCTTTGGAGTGGAGTGGGGAAGGACATTGTTATTCTCTCTTTGTGTTGATGCTGTCAGTAAGCAAACAAAACACAGAATGTAACCGAGGCTACCTCCATAGAGAACCATCCTAGAAGGCAGAGAACATGAGACTTACGAGCCTGTGACCTTCCCGGCCTGGCCAAGCTCCCTGCTAATTGGGGAGCAGCTTCGGTCCATGACTGGAGTCCTGATGTGGGCTCTGCATCCTGGCGGCTTCCGGCGCTTTCAGCAGCTGAGCCTGGGGCTAGTGTTTTGGGGCCGCAGTCTGAGTCCTGTTCTGTCCAGTCCCTCAGTGGTCAGGGGCCACAGGGACACCTACTTCCAGCCACTTTAAAAGGTTGGGTCTCCACTGTGTCAGAGAAAGGCTCCTTCTACCCTGAGAGCTGTGTCCTGGAAGCCAGCTTGCACCAGGGCCCTCCCGGACACCTTTGTGCATTTACCCATCACTCCCTTTTGGCTGTCTCTTATCTCCTCAGCTCTGCCCTGAGCATATTTCCATCCCTAACACCTCCTACTCCGTGACCCACACTGGAGCCACATGCAGAGTTCAACACTGGAGCCCTGGGACCCTAGTCATGTGTGCTTGGGTGCGAGGCCAAGCTTCACTCCCTCTGCCTATGTTCTCAGGGTTGTGCACCCTGAGTGCCCCAAATAACTTCCAAGGGAAAAAAATTAAATTGAGCTCTAGAAATGACCGCAGGTTGCATAGCGTTCATGACACATTTTCCCTGCCGAGTCCTATCTTGAAGGTGCTCCTAACATCATCAGGGTGACTGTGAGAAAATGGCCTGGTCCCAGCTTCCTTTGTTGGCTCAAGTCTACCTGCGCTTCTGTTTGCCACATTAGAAACCCCCCCCTCAGAAACCCATGCTTCCACTTCTGTCTTTCTGAATGTCCCTCTGTCCATCTCCAACAACCTCCCCACATGTCCCAATTAATGAAACTGCCCTCCCCAGCGTTAGGCTACCACCTTTCCTTCTGTCAGAAACTGCCTCAGAATCTGAGTAACTCCTCCAGGCTCTGAACCCAAAGCGATCCCCAAATCACCACCAGAGCTCCCTTTGTTCTAAAGAAGGAAACGTTTCACCAGCCTGGTTTGAGTTACTGTGTGTACTTGGAAATATTTGAAATACTCAAAGTACTCTTTCCTGTAGAATTAAGTTGATTTACACTGTCCTTGTCTTCAATTTGTCTGAATTGGTAAATTTATTGGATGGGAAAGTTAAAATCAATGACTATGTTTTACACATCCCCCACAACCAAGAGACCCAAATCTTAAAATAGAGTAAATGGTTACTTTATTCTAGTTAAGTGTCCCTGAGACTTAAGGTAATCACATACTTGAGGTTTTTACATTTCTGTCTTATTTATCAGTAATTCTAACCCAAGAGCCATTAAAAAAGTGGAGCTTATTGTTTAGCTTGGAAGGGAAAGCTCCTCCTGTTCCGCAAATCACCGAGGCAACTCCCGTCCTGTCCACGGTGTCCTGAGCCTTTACAGCCTGGACTGGGAAAAGTTGGTTTCCTTTTTACATAAATAGGAAAGTCGTACCGCTGTGCATGTGACCCCAGAGACTGGCCTCTGCAGTGTACTCCAATCTGGTAAAAATGTCACTTCTCCCTCTCTCCAAATTAAGGCATGTGGATGATCCGAACAATGCAAGAATAAGCTAGAATGTGAAGCAGAGTCAATCTTATCAGTTAATAAAGTCAAGTTGTTGATTCAGAAAGATTGGCCCTGAGAGGATTTCAGGAGCAGAAGTGTCATCAGAGCCGAGGCTTCATTTGTGGTTGTTACCACAAGGTCTTGGCTGAACCCAGAAGTGGACAAGAATTGGGTATGTCTTTGGGGAAGGATGCAGTGGGGGTGGAGAAGTATTTATGGGTTTTAAGATTTAAATAAAAAGAAAAACCACATTGTCATCTGAAAGAAGATAAATAGCAAATTGTTGAAGCGACAGGCCCATAGGGACTAATTACTCTTCCACAGTAATTCAGGAACTTCACCAGTGATTTACATTGACTTAACATGTCAAATGTCAGTTCTGTGTTATGAAATAAAAATACATGTTCTTTTAGTGTAAACAATACAGAAATGTTCTCACATGTCCCAAGTTGTTAGTCATGCAGGACAGATTCAGTGCCCTGCGATGCATGTCCACGGCTCTGTGCCTGAGGTTACAAAGTGTAACAGTGCAGCTTTATAGTTAAAATCCAGGTAGACACCTTGCTCATCTGGGGGCTGAGGAGCATCCACACCACCCCTTGGAGACACTCATGTTGCACATTCAGAATGCAAGAGTGATCATGAATAAATGTTCTTGACACTCCATTCTCCAATCTCCGTTCAACTTTGGTTTTGGGGAGGTTGTTGCAGGACATTGATGGGGAGACCACCGGCCAGCTGTACCCCTGGTAGGGTTTGAGCCGATAGCAGGTTGGCAAAGCTTACAGCACTGCACTACATGGTGTGAGCTGCCTTGGTTTCTCATGGGGTATCACCACAGATCAAATACAACGTGTCTGCAAACCAGGCCGAGAAGCTGGTGCACAGCTCACACACTACACATGCTAACTCAATTGAAATAGACTTTCAGCAACAGGTGCACACTGGCACTTATTCTACACCAGGCTCTGTGCAGGGTGAAGATGGCTAAGGCTCTGTGTTCAGTAGAGCAGGCCCTGTCTTGCTGCTGCTTCTCTGTGGCTTGGCTCAAGGTCTAACAGTTTACAGAAACCCAGTCAATGTTGGTTGGCTTGAAGACAGAATCTCTGCCTACACACTTTTCATAGTTTCGGAGAAAAATCCTATTAATCATCCAAGGTTCAACAAAGAAAAGAGAGGACACTCTAAGTATTTATAATAGAAGACTCTCATTACCCAGGTGATAGGAAGACTTTGAGGCCAGAGCACAGTGACATTGGAGGGAGCCACAACCCTTCCTGGGTTGAACTGACTAAGTAAGTAAGTGGTGCTATGGGGCCCAGGTACGAGGGTCACCCTTTGGAAGCTGGAGTCTTGGCTTCCCTGGTAGGAGCTGGACCCTCAGGGAAGTCTGCTGGAGATAGTGCTTAGGTGTGGGGAAAATGGTAATGGAGGAATACCCTGGCTTCCCCCTTCTTACCCCTCTTTTTAGCACCTCTCTCTAGGGTAAATGCCACCAGAAACCAACTGGCACAGGAGCCAGGAATGACAGTCTAATAGGCTCAATCCCTCCTTCCCTGAAGCCCATCCCCATAATGCAGAGAGGGGAAAGGGCTTGCACTGGCTCTGAGGGCAGACAGGCCCAGGATTGGCACGTCTTCCATTGGACAGCATCCCACAGACTAGGAATCAATTTCCTTTATGTATTTCATTCTCAAAATTCCCACAAAGACCCGGTGAATGGTGCATTTTTACCTCATTTTATGTATGAGAAACGTAAGACCCAGAAGCTTCTGATAAATGACTATAAATTCCCCAGAGAGTGCCTGGCTCAGCAGTATTCAAGGTGGGCCTGTAACCCCCATTTCCCTCTTACCTGTGCTCTGTGTAACCCTCGAAAGGCTATTTTTCTTTTAAGGACTTATGGGGAGATCTTTTCACTCATGAAGGTTTTGCATTTTAGATTATTGTTCAAATTGTCTATTTCCCTTTTGATCTCCTGTCTAGTTGTTCTCTCCATGATTCCAAGTGTGACATTGATGTTGCCAACTATTTTTATTGGTCTATTTTTCTCATCATTTATATCAGTTCTGCCCCGTGTATTTTGGGGTCTCTGTTAAAAACATATGTTTATAATTGTTATATCTTCTTCATGAACTACCTTTTTGTTATTATAAAGTGTCCCTGCTTATCTCTGATAACTATTTCTGTTTGAAAGCTTATTTTGTCTGATGTCAGTATGACCACTCCAGTGCTTACAGTTGTTTGCATGATTATTTCTTTTCCATCCTTTTACTTTCAGCTCATTTATGTCTTTGAATCTAAAGTGTATCTCCTGTAACATAGTTGGATCTTGTTTTTCTTATCCTGTCTGATAATCTGTGTCTTTTGTGTTGCTTAATCCATTAATATTTAATGTTAATATCCATAGGTTTGGATTTATGTCCGCCATTTTACTTTTTTCTTCATGTCTCATGTCTTTTTTTCATCAAATTTGGCATATAAAGCTGCATATTACAAAATTGAGGTTTTGGAATGCAAAACTTAATAGCATAAAGCATTATTTTGCTTTCTTTCTTTTGTGTATGAATCTCTTCCAAGGTCTTCTGTAGGAGGAACTCGAACATCTCTTCTCCACCTTGCAAGTCCTGCTGGGTTGCGCTGGGAAGGGATTAGGAAGGGAGGTAGGGATTCACATGCTTCTGGTAGAAGAGATGAGTTGTGAATAGGGAAATTCCCAGTAGCCCCTCAGCCACCATCCCCCCTCACCTGCATCTCTTCAGATCATTCTCTTCAAGTCACTTCAGGTGCATTAAGACATTGTTATCCGAATGGCAAAGAAATTCTCTTAGACCTGCCCATCACTGTTCACTGGGACCAGAGGGCAGTTCTCTGTGGATCACAGTCAGTCTAAAGCACCCTCCCTTAAAGCTACCAACATTGAGGCATCAGCCAAGGCTTCCCCGCCATGGACTTTAGTCCATTCCCTGAAAGCCACAGGCTTGTGGCAAATGATAACAGGGAAGCTGATTTGGCAAAGTGGAAAATATGATATTATCAAGTGAATAAAGCAAACTATTAAATTCTACTCCTTGTTGGGACCACCAGGAAAAACTAAGAATGCCTGTGGACAGGAGTGAGGGGTGGCATGGGTCAGATGCAGTTTTTGTCATAGTTTAGTGGTGATGTGCCTACTGCTTCTCTTTTGTTATACCTCCTTCATTAGTATCATAATTCTTTTTGGTTTTTGATGTAAGAATCAATTAAAAAAAGAAAAGACAAATTAAGCAAAGGCTGATGGAAAGAAGAGGTGGGAAGGGAAAGAGGTAGAGAGGGAGAGAAGACAAAGAAAGGGAGGTTCGATTTAATTTGGGCTGTAGGAAAAAGCTAATACCCTCAAATTTTAAGCCAGCTATAGTTGATGAGTAATAAAGGGAGGTCCAAACCTCATTTATGTTTTAATATTAACTTCGTGTAGTAAAAAACAGGGAAAAAGTAGAGTGTCATAGGGAGTTCAAGACCTAAAAAGGAGCATCTGAAACATAATCTAAAAAAAGGATATTGTGATTCCAATCCAAGGACTTTAATTTCACACAAGGGAGTAGGAAACTTCATGGCCTGTAAAACGTTTTTCACTTTTGGTTATTTGCCCTGCGGGGAGGAAGCTGGGGCTCATCTCTGCGTACCGTCCCCTCTGAGCTCTGCAGCAGACGCTGCCGCTGCCGCGCCTGCTCTGCCGGCTGCCCATGATTCTTTGCGAGGCCTGTGCACTACCTGTCACAGTCTCCTCTCCTGTGATTGCTGCCCTGCCTTGGCTCCTGTAACCCCTCTGTCAGAACTTCTGTCCTCTTAGCCCCCATGACCTGTTCTCACCTGATTCCCAAAACCAGTTGAGATGCTTCCACCTCCCTGGAGCCTTCCTGATCTCTGGACCTCATTTTAAAAGAGCGGCTGAGTTCCCTGAAGTTGTGTTTCTGGAGCTCTCAGACTCTCTCTTCCTAGGAGAAATGATCACCTGTTAGGTTGCGCCCTGGATACCTGTTAAGTGGGTTTATGTAGGGTCCTCTTAGCTGAGCTGGCCATTATTCCTCAGAATTGTCTTCTCTGAATAGTTGCAAGGCAGCCTGAAGCACATGTTGTGATGCAGAAGGCTGCAGCATGGGAGCAGCCTGCCTGCTCATAGGTCCGTGCAGGCCGCTGTACCTGACCCTTTGGTTCACCTGGTCGGGGGGGGGGGGCAGCTGCTGGTGGCCACTTTTGGGTCCTGCTGCAGCCCCTGCTCTGGCCTCTCCTACTAGAGATCAAAGCAGTTTCAGTTGGTCCTTGTGGATCCTGTGCAGCCGTGGGGGCCACTTAGTCTTGCTTCCTATACTTGACATCTGTCATCCTCCCTGAATGCTTGCCCTGCCATACAGGCTCTGAGCCACAGCCTCAGATGCAGAAACAGCAGCAGCAGCCCTGCAGGCTGAGGAACCAAATCCCTGCTCGAGGCCAAACCCCTGCAAGAAATGTATTATTCTACAGTTACTGCAGTGCTGCTTGGCACTGGACCCTCACAGATGACCACCTGTAAGCTGCCCAGATCCCTCTCAGGTGGGGCCAGGGATCAGTTCTGGTTCTTCTCTCTTGGCAAGTTTAGGCATAGGGCAGGCACTCACAGAACACAGGGTGGTTGTGGGGCTTTGATGTACCCAAGCTGGCTGTGATGGCCTTGCAGATCCTGGCTGAGCAGGTCTGGACAGTGCAAGGGCTGGCTGGCTTCCCATGGCTGGAAGAAGACTTTTGGTTGTGGTTGTTTTGGGTTTTTGGTTCCCCTCATGGTGGGACTACTTGTCAGGCAGGTGTTTGGAGAGAGGATCCTGACGATCGTGAGTCTTCAGATGCCTTCATCTGTCCAAATGGTTTGATGATGGCCTGTGCCCCAGGGCCAGGAGGGTGCCCCTGTGCAGGGCGGTGCTTCAGGCTGCCTGTGCTGCGCTCTCCTGGAGCTCCAGGATGGCTCCTTCCCCTTGGCTCCCTTGGACACAGATGTTTTTGTGTCTTGGTCTTTGGGATCTGTCCCCAGGCACTCCCACAGGAGGACAGACCGTGGATGCTGGACTGGTTTTGGACCCTAACAATGAAGTCTCTACGATGCAGTTAGGTCCAACTGACATATGTTTTCTCCCATAACTCTGGCATGACCTCCATGCTGCCTCCAGTGCTGCTGCCCACCCTGCACACTCTCTACCCAACCCCAGTGCATTTCCCGGCTGATTATGGGGTGCCCAATTGGGAGAGGGGGTCAAATCATCCCCCTATGTGAATCCTTTCTGAGCTAGAAATTCCCAGTGTGACCTGCTGTGTTGAACTTAAGAATGAAGTCCAAATGTCATCAGCATCCATTGCTTGGCTCTGCTCCCAGGGACTGAGAACAAAGCAGGACTTTGTGGTCACAGGCAACAGGCCCTGCTCACTGCCTTGCTCCACCAGGTGGATTAAACGGCAGCTCCATCTCCTCCTGCCCGCCTCAAAGCCCGGATCTACAAGGATGTCCAGGCCAGTGCGGCATCACAGCAAATGACCCCAGGCTTCCTTCTCTCCATTGTTTCATAAAGTTCTCTGATGTGCATGTTACCATGGTTACAGATCCATTAGAACATTGCTCTCCAAGTCATCAGAGACTTTCCGCTTCCCAGTGGCTTCCAGTCACTTTAGAAAGGGGCTTGGATGTCTAGAGAGGAGAGGGGATGTGGGCAGACATGAGACGACCACTGAATGATCTATACTTCCAGTTTCGGGGCTTTTGGGGCTGGGGTGGCATTATGGCTCAGTTGTGTTCTCCCAAAACTTGTATGTTGAAGCCCTAACCCCCACTACTGCAGGATATGACTGTGTTTGGAGATAGAATCTTTAAAGAGGTGATTAAAGTTAACTGAGGTCATCGGGATAGGCCCTAATTCAATACAACTGATGTCCTTCTAAGAAGCGATGAGGACACAAATGTGCATAGAGGGAAGACCATGTGAGGACACAGGGAGAAGACAGCATCTATGAGCCAAGGAGCGGGGCGTGAGAAGAAACCGAACCTGCCAGTAACCTGATCACAGACTCCCACCCCCAGAACTGCAGGAACAATGCAAACCTGGCCTGTGGTGCTTTGCTATGCAGCCCTGGCAAACTAGGACAGGTGTGTCTTAGTCCATTTGCGTCACTATAAAGGAATGCTTCAGGCTGGGCAATTCATGAAGAAAAGGGACTTACTGGCTCACGGTTCTGCAGGCTGTACAAGAAGTGGGGCACCAGTATCTGCTTCTGGTGAAGGCCTCAGGGAACTTCCACTCATAGGGGAAGGCACCACGTGAGACAGGAAGCAAGAGAGAGGGGAGGAAGTGCCGGGCTCTTTTTAACAATCAGATTTCATGGGAACTAATAGAGTGAGACTTTGATACTATGAAGATGAGGATGGCAACAAGGTATTCATGTGGGAATGGCTACCATCACCCACACACCTCCCCCAGGCCCACCTGCAACATTGAGGGTCACATTTCAACATGAGATTTGGAGGGAGCAAACATCCAAGCCATATCAGGTGGTGACTGAATTCCTCTTGTGGCCCCACCTATGGCTTTGGTGGATTTGGTGCCCACTCAGTGAGTGCCCACTTAGCCCAGTGATGCTGCATGCACACGGCTCACTTCCCTTTCAACAGTTCCTGTGATTCTTCCTGATGTTCCCAGCCTTTCACCTTCACATTTTGGATGCCGCTGCTGTGTGGCCCCATCTTGCATGAGCTGCCGCCACTCAGCAGGTACCACCTGGGCTGCCTTTTCCTCCTGGAGGGCCCAGGGGAGTGGGGACAGGGGTGAGAGGAACTGGAGCAGCGGATCCTGTCCCTACTTTTCCCTCCTTGCCCCTATCTCAGCCCAGCAATTCCAAGGTGGGACACAGAGGGGAGGCAGATGGAGGGCCAGGGTCCCAGGGCAGCCCTCATCACAGACTTAAGGGGAATCGTGCTTGAACGTGGATGTCATTGACTCAGGGTCTTCCTTTGTCTTCCTCATCTTAATACCTGGAGACAGAAAATTGCACTTGTCAGCCTTTGATGTTTTGCACAGGATATGGAAAAAAACAAATGTTGGCCTTCTTTGAGTTTAGTCACATATGCAGCCAAAGGCCCAGGACTGTGAGCTGTCTGCAGGGAAGGCAAAAGCATCTCTGTTCATCAAAGCTGCCCATTTGTCCAGGGGTTATGATAGCAGCAACCACAACTGACACTGTTATGATGAGTTATGGCTTCCTGGCCATGTTTTCAAGCATTTTAAAATTTAATACAGGTATTGTTGTCTCTGTTTTATAAATAAGAAATTAAGATCTGAGGAGAGCATCTTCTCCCAAAGTTCTCACAGCTGTGCTGATTTCTTTTTCTCTTCCTTTTTTTTTGAAAGGAGTCTCGCTCTGTGGCCAGGCTGGAGTGTAATGGCGCTATCTTGGCTCACTGCAACTTCCACCTCCTGGGTTCAAGCAATTCTCGTGTCTCAGCCTCCTGAGTAGTTGGGACTACAGGCACGCCACCACGCCCAGCTAATTTTTTTTTGCATTTTTCATAGAGACGGGGTTTCATTATGTTGGTCAGACAGGTCTTGAACTCCTGACCTCATGATCCTCCTCAGCCTCCCAAAGTGCTGGAATTACAGGCATGAGCCACCGCGCCTGGCTGGTTGTGCTGATTTCTAACCAGTGTGACCATTGCCCCATCCACCTGGCCTCTGCCATGGTATCTCCCCAGCTCACCAGGCCCTTGGAACACCCAGACTCAGCACACCTTCCTCCGTATGCCCTGTGAAGAAAGTGCCTCCCCAGATCTGTGAGAATGCAACATTTCTTTCCAGAGAAGCCTGTTTCTGACCTTGCTGGCATTGCCCTGCCTTTCTTGATCAGTACCTGGGGGATCTGAGTCTGCCAGGTGCCTGTCCTACTCTGCCAGCTGCACGTCTCACTACTTGTGCCTGAGCCCATCCTGAGGGTGTGAAGGATGGCAGCAGCTGTCTTTCCCAACCAGGGTCAAAAAATGCCATGCTTTTTCCAAGTCCAGGCCACACTAGTTTGAGACTAAAGGGAAGTGGCAGTTTCTGAGAGTGATGGCATCTTCTTCCAACTGCAATGCTGAGAAATTGCTGGCCTTCCTTTCTCAGGAGGCTTGATGACTTACGCATGAAATCTTAGCACAGCTCAGGTATTCTCACAGCTCTGCTACCTTTACGGCTCCTGAATAGCCCTTGGTGTCCATCAATGCTGCCTGCCGGTGGCCCCAGGTGCTCAGGGTGGCTGAGTTGTAGCTTGTCCCAGCCCTGTTCTGTGTTGGTTGAATGTGGCATGGGCTCTGCCTTGTGTTTCTGCTTTGCCTTCTGCTGGACAGCCCTGTAGCACTCTGTCCTGGACTCCAGCCCAGGCTAGCCGGGCACTGCAGGCCCTCTGAGGGTCCCACACCAGTCATAGGCAGAATTCTGAGAGGCCTCACGATTCCCACCCCGTGTATACACGCCCCAGTGTAATCCCTTCCCCATGGTTGGAGGCCAGGCTGCAAATCTGATGGCATTCCTGCCAGTGATGAGGGTACAAAGGTGAAGAACTTTGCAGATATAATGAAGCTCCTTGATGAGTTGCCTTTGAGATGATCAAAAGGCAGATCCCCTGAGCCTTTAAAATAGACAGGATCTTCCTAAAGAGAGAGATTCCAAATAGGAGAGGGATGCCCTGCTGGTCTTGGGGAAGTAAGCCTCGTGTCCCTAGGGGCCCTGCCTGGGTAGACCCAGGGAGAGAGGTGTGTGGCCTCTTGGCGTGGCAGGGAGCAGGTGTGGCCTCTAGGTGCTGAGAAGAGCCTCTGGCCATCGCCTGGCAAGAAAGCTGGGACTTGGTCATTCCATTGCAAGGAACTAAATTTGGCCAACTACCACATGAACTTGGAAGGGGACCCAGCTCCAGAGGGGACTGTACCCCCACTGACATCTTGATTTTAGCCTGGTGAGACCCTCAGCCAAGGACCCTGCCCGAGCTTCTGATCTACAGAAACTATAAGACAGTAAACACATTGTGTTTTAAGTTGCTGAGTTCATGGTGCTTTGTAACACAGCAATGGGAAACTAATACAGTACCCCAACTCCCTCTGCCCCCACCCACGGGGGTCAGATTTTTAGCACAGCTGGTAGGGCCTCCTTATTGTCTCTGCCACTGTGTGACTTCTAGATTGGCCTGTGTACTGGAATCCCATTCTTCATACTCGTCCTAAGGGTTAAGCCCTGGCACGGGTGATGGTCCCAGGCCTTGGGCTACAGCTTATCCCAGGATGAGCCCCTCTGCCTCATGCACCTCAGTGAACAGGAGGAAGGAGCAGGCACTGGACCCCATTGGTCCTTTTTCAGCGGGCTCTACTCTTCATGGCTCTGTTCCTAGTTCCCATCAGGTCATTTCTAGGAACTTACAGGAACCGTAAAACCCAAGCCTTCCCTAAAGAAGTTAAAGAAATATTACCATTGTTCCAAGCTCAGACCACAGTAACTTGAGACTCAAGAGGAGTGAAGATATTTCAGAATGACCGTGCCTTCTGCTATCTGCAGGGTTGAGAAATTGTCATTTCAAAGGGGGCTTGGTGATTTATTTCTGAAATTCTTAAGAGGGATTGCAATGAGAAGAGAAATATCACCAAAGTCTCAAAGCTGCTGACCAGCTTATTTAAAAGTATGCAATATATTCAGCAAACACTTAGGGCAAACCACAGGAAAAACAGGATAACATTGATCACCTTATGAAAAATAGTTGGAAATGTAAAGCCCAAAAATGTGTCAATAAAGAGGGAAAATGGAGTAAGAGTCCCCATTTGATCTTCGTTTATGTAACATAAAAATTTTCAAAACTCTTTTGATTTTGATGTAATTATAGATTCATAGGAAGTTGCAAAAATGATGCACAGAGTGCCATGACTTTTACCCGCTTCCCCCAGTAGTGACATTTTATATGACTACAGTATGATATCACAGACAGGAAACCGATATTGGTACATGCTATGGCTTGAATTGCATGTCTGAAATCCTCACCACCAGTACTTCAAAATGTGACCCCTTAAAGTAGGGCCATTTCAGATGTAATTAGTTAAGATGGAGTTACAATGGAGTAGGGCAGCCCGAATCCCATATGACCAGCATCCTTAGAAGAAGACGGCATGTGAAGACAGACCCGCACAGGAGGAATATGAGAAAGGCAGAGATCTGAGTTATGCAGCTGCAAGTCAAGGAATGTCAAAGGTGGCCAGAAAACCACCAGAAGCCAGGAAGAGGCAAGGAAGGATTTGGACTTACAGGTTTTAGAGAGGGGTTCAGCTCCCCAGTCCACCCTGCTGACTGTTGGCAGAAGGTTTTCCATGGATGTTTGGCTGGGGAAGAATAGTTATTGTCAAAAAGACCTTCTGTTGTGTTAGACTGCTATTTCCCCAGTCCTGCAGCTGCAGGAAGCAGGCTTTTCTTGGGACATGTCTGTCTGCAGTGGTTGGTGGTTCCAGGTTGCAAGCTTCTCCAGTGCTTTGGC